TCTTCTTTCCTTCTGTTCAGGACCACTAGATAGGCCTCAGAGTGGTAGACTCTAACTGCTGCACCCCAGCAACACCCCCTTTCTGCAAGCAGTAGCCCAGGGGATCTTTCATCACTCTTGTATCCTGATGGCAGTCAATGATTGCTACTGTAGAGGAGGGAAACTGAGGCCAGAAGATAAAAGGAAGTTAGGCAGACAAGGCAGAGGTCTTGAATAGTTAACCTAAGTGAACTGAAGGTCAGGCCTGGGTGACTTAAAATGCAAAGGGCCTGAAGAGCTCACTGGGTAAACTAGAAAGTGCCTTGGAGGGTTAAAATATAAACAAGACAGACTGGTTTCCAGACACTAACGGCCCAGGAACAAAAGGCAACCTCCTTGCATTCTGTCACATACACCTGCAACAAAGATGGTATGAAAGACCCTGGACTCAAATGTCTATGGTTTTTCTGCCTTTCAGAACCCCCCTGACAAAGGGGGGGGGGCTTTTCTTTTTATTCTTCCCTATAAAGATATACCCAGTCATGCCCCATTACTTGCTTGCTGTCCTGTTGCTTCCTTCTGCATCACCTCAAAACAAGGACCCAAAGGGGAGCTAGTTGCAATGTACTGGTTAGTATCTTGGAATAAACATATATTATATGCCAGGAATTCAGCTAAGAGTTTTGTATTTTTTATCTCTTTTTTAATTCTCAGTGACCCTGAGATTCAGAGGATGAATGTGAGAGTCAAAGAAGGAAAGTATCCAGGGGTGCCACTGAAAGGAAGTAATGAAACCTAGGTTCTAAGCTTGGCCTGGCTAACTCCAAAACTCTAAGACTTTGTCTTTTCCTCTTGATTAATTTCCTCTTCTATTTCTGTTATTCTAAAACAGTAACTCCCAAGTTATGGTCCTGGAGCAGCAACAGTAGCGTGCAGGAACTTAGTAGAAATGCAAATTCTTGGGGCCCACCCCAGACACATTAAATCAGAAACTCCTGGGGTGGAGCCCTCCCTTTCCTGATCAGTCTGATGCTCTCTTGAGTTTGGGAATCACTGCTCCAGAGGGAACGCTCGAGTTTCAAGGCAATACTTAAACTTACATTGATACCAAACATCTCATCAATCAACAATTTCAGCTGTCTGAGCACGTTTACTCATATTACTCAGCTAATTTCTCATGTAGGTATCATACAGGATTTTAGTTTGCATTGTCACCAAATCTTTTCCATATAAGGAATCAGCACTTGTTTTGTTATATTCATTTTATTAAGGTATAATTTACGTACAATAAAAAGGCACAGATCTTAAGTGTACAGTTTGAGTTTTGACTATTGTCATAGAACCACCACCCCAAACTATGGAACATGTCCATGTATTTCTCTAAGAAATTTCCCTTTTGCTCACTCCTAGGCTATCTCCACCTACTATCTCTATACCCACCAAATACTGGTCTGTTTATATTAATGCAGTTTCAATTTGTACTTTTCTAGTGTGTTGTATAAATGGAAACCTTTAGCATGTAGCCTTTTATGTCAAGCTTCTTTTCCTGAGCTTAATATCTCTGAGATTCTGTGTTATTTTGTACATTAGGAGAGTGTTCCTTTTTTATTCTCGGGTAGAATTCCATGTGTGAATATACACAATTTGTTTACATATTAACTTGTTGATTGAAGTCTAAGTTGCTTCCAAATTGGAGCTATTGTGTCTGAAACTTACTAGCTTCAGAGACACCCTCAAACTTGGATAATATTCAGCTAGGTTTAGAATTCTTGCTCACAACTGTTTTCCCTCATCATCATAAGGTAATCTTCTATTATAGTCCAACAGAGTTGTTGAAAAGCCTAATTGATCAATTGATCTGATCATTTCCTTGTTCTTTTATACAGTTAGTGTATTTTTGTCCGCTTTGGAGGGCTTTAAATTTTATTACTATTTCCCTAAATTTTTGCCACAGTATATTCTGCATTATGTACTTTCTGAGCAATTTTCACAAATTCTCTCCTCAGCAGAATCAGCCTTTTTAATTTTAACAACTATACTTTTAATTTCTGGAGCTACTCTCTGATTATTTTAATCTTTTAAAAAAGGCATTATTTTACTCCTTTGGTTAATTTTAAATGCTTTTCAATTTATTTTAGTCATTTTAAAAATACCTAATTTGCAATCTGCTTTTGCACATTTTATTAACTAAGACACTTGGAAATCTAATTTAACTGTATGTTTCTGCTGATGGTTGCTGTGTTGGATTAGTTTCAGCCATGTTTTATAATTTTGGGTTATAATCTATATTTGACATAGCTTTATAACAAAAAATTCTGTTATAGGGGCTGGGAATTTAGCTCAGTGGTTATGCCACCTGCCTTGCAAGTGCAAGGGCCTGAGTTCGATCCCTGGACAAAAAAAAAAAAAAGAAAAGAAAAAGAAAAAACTATATTATAAAGGTTGGCATAGTTTGAAGGTATATTCTTCCAGACAATTTTTATGCTTACTTTTTCTTGCCTGGCAAAAGACAGTAAAAGCTCATCACTCTTTATTTTAGAATGAGTCTTTGGTTAGCCCAGAAGTATATATTCAAACCTCAAGCCAGGGTCAAAGCAGGACAAAATAATTATTTTTAACCCATGCAGATTCCAAGCTAAATATATAAGCTTTTTTGTTGTCGTCTCTGAACATATTTTGACTAGTTACATTCTCACAAAACAGTATCTTTTTAAGAGTTTTGCTTTATGCAGGCATATATATTTTAACTTCCTGACTTAAATCAGAACCAATGCCTCCCTTCTCCATGCCCATTAAAACCAAACCCCTTGGCTTTTTGCAATTAGCAACCCCATTCTGGTCCCCAGGCCCCTTCCTCTACCAGGTCAGTTTTTCTTTACATTTTTGCAGGGGAAGCCAATGAGGCACTCAACTGGGGGTAGGAAAGGCTATGTGAAAGCCCTTGTATCTGAGTCTGGAGGGGGAGGACCTACCTATCCAACCCTGAAGGCTGAGTGCTCAGCCTGTAGCAGCTTCTGGCTGGACCTCAAGGGATGATTCCCCTAAGTTCTCTTTCTGTCCATTTCTGCTGCCTTCATTCATTTTTCATTCTGGTATTTATCCCTTATTCCTCCTTCCCTTTATCCCACATTGACCTTCTGACAATACAGTAGAACCTCAAGTTATGACCATTCTGACATATGAACAACTTGGATTACTACCAGAATTTTAGTTTTTAAATTAAGACCAAAATCTTGAGTTATGACCCAAATGCCAGCCACTTGTGTTTCAGATGGTTTCAGATACAGATTTAACCCTTAAAGAGCTCTGTAAAGAACATCATGACATCCTTTCCTGTGTGGAGTTAATTAAGTAATCCTGGACCAGTGTCTCTAAGGACACTGAGATCTGCCTGGGGAGAAAGACTTTGAAAGAGAAAGACTTTGAAGGCTGTGTAGAGAAGGCTGAGCCTTCAGTTGACCAAATTAATTTCCAACCACCCTTTGTGAATGAACTGAGTTCGAAAGTCAAGGGTGTAGCTGGACCATTTCTCACTCAGTGACTCTAGTATATTTGCTGAAAGATAAATGTGCTATTTTACACCCCTCCACCCACACAGTCAGAGTTAATTAGATTTCACAATACAAAAATACATGTATAAGAGTTTCAAAGGGTCTTTTTTATGGTTTGGGTCTAGATGTGCCCCCAAATCCTTATGCAATCATAGGTGAGGCTTTTTCAGAGGTGGCTAAATCTAGATTGTGTGATGCTAGGATTAAGGGTGGGTGATTACTAAATCAGTCCACTGATTGGTTTGACATCACCCTAATCCCCATAGCCTGGATACAATATAAGGGACAGAAACAGACTTGTCTTCTCCCCTGCTTGCTTACTTTTGCTGTCTTCTGCTTACCATGAACTGTTTCTCCTCTGCAGTGCCCCTCTGCCAAGCCACCCTGCCTTAGAGCCAGCCAATTATAAACTGAAACTTCTGCAAACTGTGAGCTAAATAAACCTTTCCCACCCTAACTTGTGGGTGTTGGGTATTTTGTCTCAGCAATGAGGAAGTCACTGACACAGTCCTCATCAAAATTGGCCTCACTTTAGGAATTCCTGGTACATCTAGCACAGCCCCTACTCCCAGTCTGTTCTTCAGAGTATAAGGGCCCTTCATGAGAACTCACACCTCAGAGTAGGATGTCAGAGATATAAACCAACCCATCTTCTGACTCCTGGGATAGCCAATTTGGAGACAGCTCTGAAATTTGTACTTGTCCAAGTGCCAATTAATCCCCCCACCTGGGTCCAGGCAATCCGTAGCTTGCTTCTGGGGTCTCAAAGAAGAGTTTGACTGACCTTCTGTCTCCCTCTGGCCTCTTTCTGGGCCCCGGTTGCCTTCAGCAGACTCATGTTCCCAGAACATGCTCTTCTCATGGAACACTATTGCTTGGGAGCCCATGAACACCCTTTTGAGAAGCAAAGGAGAGTCAGGCTTCTAAGTCCGGCTCCAGTCCTCTTTCCAAGCTGATTCAGCACATTCTGGAGAAAAAGGCTCTGTAGCCAAACAGACCTGGGTCTGAATCCTGACTCAGTCACTCAAAAGCCATTACTGGACATGGGATTTAACATCTTTGAGTCTTTCTTTTTTGTGAAATGATGATGGAAATGATGACTTGAGTAGTGCTCCACAGGTGTGAGTTTACATCTTTTCAGATTTCCCAGCCTGGTGAGAAGTGCTGGCTACATGTCTCACAGATTCCAGGTTTGTGGTCAGAGTGCTGCCTACCCTCAGTGCATGTGGGTGGACACTGGATGCTTGTTTTCTTAAGGAATGGGATGGAGGGGTCTGTATGGGAGCCCAGCCAGCCAACAGTGAGCTGCTTCAGGGCTTTGTGTTGGTCAAGGTCACTGGGATACACACACCTGGCCACGTCAGGACTTTGTGCCTGGCTAGCCCATATACTGCTGAACTTTGTAAAGCAAAGTTTCTTTTGATTGTGCTTATGACCTTTGTCTCTTATCCTATCTTATCTTCTCTTCAGATGCATAAGCCAGGTCACCAAGCTATAAAAGTGATCCGTTTCAACACTTCAGCTTAGTCCTTAACATTTACCATACACCCACACCAAACCAGAGGCTGTCACCATGACAAGAGACCAGAATGGAACCTGGGAGATGGAGAGTAATGACAACTTTGAAGGCTACATGAAGGCCCTGGGTAAGGGGGATAGGGGATGGAGAGGGAAGGGGATGGTGGGAAGATGTTGTCTGGTCCTCTAGATAGTGTCATTGTGGAGTTCAACAGACATGTATGCAAATCCTCACTCTTTGTTTACAGCAGTGCACAAATTTCTGAGGCAAATCTCCAAATTGGGAATAATAATAAAAGAGATTATATTTAGAATGTCTTCAACACAGTGCCCAGCTCAGAAAAAAAATATGTTGAATGGAGAATACACACATATAACATGCACCACACACACATGTGCATACACACATACACACACACAGGATGAAAATTACCTTGAGGGAATAAGGCAGCCCTCTCCTGCCTTACAACCACCATCTCCTTCATGACCATTTAGTTCTGACATCATCCACCAATGACCCCCGCTTTCTCTTTGGTCAGACTTGTAATGGAAAAATAGGAAAGGAACAGCTAGAAAATCTCCCAGCCTAGAGAACATCAGGGCCTCAGAGGGTTAGGAGAGGCTTTTATCCTATAGTTCAACCACCCACTCTTTCTCTGACTTCCAAATTGGGCTCTAAGCCATGGGCTATAAGTTTCCAATAGGTGGATCTCTTCTGGAGCTGGCACAAAAGTGTAGCCTTCTTCAGCTGGTGGGTTCTACATAAAAGCAAAGGGGGTGAGTCTGCAAAGGGGAGCTTGTGGCTGCTGGTCAGCTCCTGTGCTCTAGGCACTGGACAGGGAGTTGGCTGCCTGTCATTTCTTCCCTGTAGCACCCTCACCACCAACACATTTCTCAGCTTTAAATTTCTCCATGTATAGAATTACCTCACTGGAACTTCCCACACAAACAGCATGAGAAAAATGGCTACAGGTGGGGTCAGAGGCCCAATAATTTTTCTGTGAAATTCACTTTTAGCTTGAAGAATATTCTTGCCATGTCAATAAAAAAGGAGACCTGTGCTCTGTATCACAATTTACAGAATTTAGACCTCTCTTCATATGGTTTAAACATGTTTCCAACAGTTAACTTTCTTTTTCCTCTTAGCCATCAAAATTTCACCTCTGTATGCTTGGGGGAGGAAGAAGGAGGCCAAAATTCTTCTACCAGGGCTCCACCCTATGCCCTGTTGCTCTTGTATTTTAAGTACCATGGTGGCAAATAGAAGTGAAATTGTGAACCTATCCATGGGTAACAGATTTGTTGCATTGTTCACAACTAACTCAGAAGAATAGCATACAGATGAGGAAGCCAAACCAGAGAGCTCAACATAACTGGGGCCAGGGCAGACTTATTCTGTGAACTTGAACATTTTTTTTAATCTTTCAGAACGTCAATTTCCTCATCTTCCAAACAGGGATAATAGCACCACTGTCTGTAGATAGTGTTGGATATGGTTGTGGTTTTGAACAATTGAAAGCACTGTGTCTAGTGCTGTTTGGAACTTCCAAGGTTTCAGCAGTATGCTGAACAAGCTGGACTCATCGAATACATCAGAAACCAACTTTGAGCCTTTCACTTCTTTTAAAGGCCTATGATGACTTTAGTATAAAATCCAGCCTCATTTAGTCTATGGCACTGCAGGGTAGCCCATAAAGCCCTTAGCATCCATCTTTTCAGGCTTCAGGTGGGAGGCAAGCATTCCCAGCACCCTCTCTTCTCTGGAGAGATGGGATGGTCCAGGGTGCATCACAAATTTTCTCCAAGAAATGCTCTCTCTAAAAGCAGCCTTCCTCTGGACTCCTTCACACCAATTTACATTCTCAGTGTGGGTGAGGTGCTGAAAGTCATGATGGTGATATTTACATGTCTCCCTCATATAAAGTTCTGGATCAGTCTTTCTAATTCTCAGTACCACAGACTTGTCTCATAGCATTGATCAAAACTTCAATTTAACATCATATTGCACTGACCTCACTCTAATGAGCGCACTGCTTGACCTTTTGTATCAGGGTCTCTGCTCGCAGAGGGGTAGCTGACACTTTGCTGGCGAGATGAATGCTGTAGGTGACAGTGCCAGTTAAACAGAGGGTGGAGGTGGTTGGTGCCTGACTTCCCCAGCTGCTGATAGCCCACAGTGGTGTCCCAGGGCCCCAGGAGTTTGTCCCATCTTGAGTCCATGAAGCCCTGCACAGAAATCCACAGCCACCTTCCCACACTTGAGATAGGGAACCTGATTTCTCCCATCTGACCATGGGGACATGGGCCAGGCAGGGAATGGCAGTGATTGAAGACAGGTTTCAAGGAGGTGAGTCTGAACATCTAAGGTGTGGCTTCTCAATCTACTCTGCTAAAGCAGCCCAGCAGATCATACGTTTCCTCCACACCCAGGCTGCAAGGCAGGTTGCTTTCCAAACACTGAAACTTCAATGAAGCTTGCCTTTCTTGCCCTTTTGAACACTGAGACCCTTGGCATTTAGGAAGAGTCTTTGTGGAGATCTGCAAATCCCCAGAAGTGTAAATATCACCAAGTTTAACACCATTCCTCAAGAGCTGTCACTTTCTTAGACTTTAACCCTGCATACCAGGGAATTTGGCTTTCTCTGAAGACCTGGCTTTAGGTTCACTGGGGCAGAAGAAACTGTTGAGATGTGGATCTGGGTGGCACAGGGGTTTTGTCTCTAGTCCAGTGACTTACTCCACACATTGGCTTCTCCATGTGACTCAGCTGCCAGTCTCAGCAGAGTGACACATAATGGCAACCTTTGGGTTTGCCTCAAATTATCAAAGTCATTAAGAGTTCAAAGAATGAGTGCCAAAGGTTTAGTCAGTGACACTTCCTTTCCTGTCTTCTTGGGTCCCTAATGTTTCTCAATGCTCTAGACTAGTATTGGCAAAGCTTTTAGAGACCAAGGACCCAAACTGCAACTTAAAACCCACTTATTTATTACAAGGTGCCAACACTGTTATTAAATCTGAATACTGAGGTTTTAGTTCAGAAAAAAAATGAATACATTTGTACTTGGCTCTGACAGAGAGGCTCTACATGCCTGACACATGCCATAGGTTCACTACCACTGCTCAAGACTCTTCTCTGACACTGAGGAAAGCAGCTGGTGAACTCCTGCACCCTGAACAATTTCTCCTGTCCTGAGGTCCTCCTTCTGTTGGGTCAGAGGGATGGGGAGGGCTGTTGGGAGCAATTCTATGTGATTTAATTATGAAATGAGCTTTCTCCTTTCCTCTGTTAAAATGATGACTTTTGGGGGTGGATCTTCCAATGCTGAACCAACACTGCCATCCCTATAATAAAACCACTTTCCACATACTGCCAGATCTGACTTCTCACAGTTTGTTTTCTTAAACAAATTTTTATCTATATTCATACTTTTTCTTCTATTATCTTTATCCAGTTTTAGGATTAGCACAATGTTGATTTCCTAAAATGAGGGGAGAAGTGTTCCTTCTTTTCTCTACTTTAAATGTTTGATATAATTTATCAGTTAAAATGTATATGAGCCTGTTGTTGTCATATAGGTAAGTTTTCAAGTTAGGAATATACTCTCTTTAATAGGTGCTATTCAAATTTTATATTTCCTCCAGAGTTAGTCTCATTAATTTGTCTTCCAAGTTACTTCTTAGAAGTTGTCAAATTTATTTCAAAACAAATTTTTGAAATATGTTTTCTATGTCCTTTTAAATTCTGTAAAATCTGTGGTAATGTCTTCTAAATTTTGATAATGTAATTTAAAAAATATATAATTGATATTGTGTAATAGGAAGAAAAGGTCTAAAGGAGCAGGGGAAGTGGGAGGGGTAGGGGAAAGGAAAGAAGGGAAAAGAAAAAATATGAGAAAAGAAAAAAAATGGAAACAAAGTCTTTGCAAATAGGGAAGGGTGGAGGGGGTGAAGGGAGGGCAAGGGAAGGGGGAAAAAATAAGAACCAAGATACTCATGTAATGGTACAAGATCCCAATGATGAATGTAACTGTATTTTATACCAAAAATGTACCAATAAACTTAACGGGAAAGAATTTTTTTAAATAAAATAAATTTTAAAAAATTATGAGCTGAGGCCAGGTAGGGTAGGTATGAGGAGGAAGTCCCAGTAATGTGAAGGAACAGTTCATGTGTTGGAGGGTGGGGTGGGAGCCCAATAACTTACCTAGCATGGAGACTCACCCTGCTCTTGGGCCAGAGCTCCAGCAGCTGCTTGTGAAGCAGGGACTGTTCTATCTGAAATAGAACCAGACTTGCTTTCTGCTCACAAGATCAAAGTGGTATAGGAGATACAGGAGATCAAACTGACCATTACAGTTGGGCACGTATGGTGTTCCTGTTTTCTGTTAGTGTATGCAAAGCTTTCCAAAAATGTAGTGCCATCTTTTATTATCTCTCACAGCTCTGAGTTTGGGCAGGTTCACCCTGGTGGTTCCCAGTGAAGGGCTCTTGTTCAGTGCAACTAGACCTCCTCACCCAGATGTCTGTGTGCCTTGTGGCTGAGACCTCAGCTGGGCCTGTCAATATCTGCTTGTGGTCTCCCCATGTGGCCTGGTTGTCCTCAGAGCATGGTGCCTACGTCAAAGACAGGCAAGGCAGAAGCTGCATAGCCTCTTATGACCCAGCCTCAGAAATCACCAGGGACCACTCCCAGTGCATTGTATTGGTCCAAGGGGTGCAAGCCCTGCCTGCGGCAACAGAGACCCCTCTTCTTCAGTGAGAAGAATGTCAAAGTCACATTGGAAGAACAGTGTGTAAAATGAGATACAGTCATTTAAGAAAATATAATCTGCCACAGATAGCCAGTGGGTGATTCTATAACTGGAGCCCCAAAGGGCTAGATGCCCTGACAGCTAACCTTTTAGAGCTTTCAATGACATAAACCTCTCACTCAACATGAATGTCATAGGTTCACCAACACTGGGCTGGAGTAACTGAACAATAGTAACAAGAAGTATGTGCAGGATGGTAGAGGGAGCTGCAGTACATGTGTCAGTGAAGGCTTCCTGGTATTTCTGGGAGGGGTTTTGAAGGAAAGAGAGGCGTGCCCCATGCAGAGACAAAGTCAGGCATGGCCCCATGGCATGGG